AAAAAAGAAGGAAGAAGATTCTCTTTGGAGTAACTCCTTTTGGCACTTGGGAAGAAGATCTTTAAGTGTCACAGAAACGAATTTAAAAAAAGGCAATGTCCAAGGATAAAATGCTGTGCTGCCAAAGCTCCAGAACCTCATTGTCTTTCAGTTGCTGACTCGGGAAGTTGAATGTAATAAACCACAGTGCTCTGATTAGTAGAAATAGTGCTTAGTTTGGTACCAGAAGAAAGTTCAGGATCCATATACACCAGAGATCTTTTGGCGGAGAGCTTTAGCAGCCTTATCATCATAACCCTGATTGTGTGAGTCTCCCCAGAGTGCCCATCTAGGTCAACCAAATACTGGTATAACTTCAGCATGTACTACAAGCAATACCTTTGGGGCCATGGCTTTATCTCCTTGCCAGGGGCCTCATCTAGCAGATCCTGACTCAGGAACAAAGTAGGATTGTCAGCAAGAAGACTGACAGAGGGCCACTCTACACCATGTGTAACCATAAAAAGCGCAAGTGCCCATAGAAGCGTTTTAAAAATAAAAGGGCCGTCTTGAAAAACTTCGGTGTTTGACAACAGATTCCAAAACCAGTCCAAAGGATATTAACCTGACCCTTTCTTTTCATGCAGGAAAATACACCATGGTTCAGCAAACAACAAGGATAGAGAAAGGAAATAGGGCAGACTGACCGCATGTGTTCCCCATGGGAGAATCTCCTGAGCCAGTAGGCATCTTGGCACAAAACCAAAAACAACTGGTGGGCTAAGGCAGCGGAGGACCTAGGTTTGGTTCCAGGCACCCATATGGTGGCTCACAATCATTTATAACTCCAGCTCCAGGGTATCTGACCTCTGCTTCTGACAACTGAGGGCACCGGTCATGCATGTAGTAACATGCATACATATAGGCAAAAATCTTATACACACACACACAAACACACACACACACAATCTAAAACAATTAAAAATATAAAACAAAAGCACAGCTTATAAGCAATGAAGAAGATAAAATTATTGAAAACTCTCCCCAAAGGAAGACAGGAAGGGGCTGGAGTGATAGCTCAGTTGATAAAGCACTTGCCTTGCAAGCATGAGGCTCCAGAACCCAAATTAAAAACAAACTCAGGTGTGGTAGTTCACACTTGTAGTCCAAGCACCAAAGAGAAAGAAACAGGAGGTTCTCTGGGGCTTATTGGCCAGCTAGTCTACCCTACTTGGTGAACTCCAGGCCAAGGAACAACATAACCGAACCTGTCCTTTACATGTGTACACCGCCTCCCTCCACACACACACGGTGGAAGGAAAAGAGGGAGAGAGACTATGAACATAGACAAACAGAAACAGAACAGCAAGATGGCAGATAAACACAGTTATGTCAATAATTATATTAGCTGCAAATGAACTAAGCATATTAATTAGGCAGAAATTTCAGACTAGACAATGAAGTACAATTTAGCTGTATGCTATCATTAAGAAATATGCCTTAAACATAAAGGCATAAATTAAAAGCAAAAGGCTATGTAAAGATACACATTTTAAACATTGGTCATAATAAAGATGAACTAGTGGCTATTAGCAAACTATACTTTAGGTCAGAGGATAGGCATTGGCAGAAATAAAGAGAAATATTTTACAATGGGAAAAGGGTCAATCACCAGGAAAATATAGCCATTCCAAATATTTTTCTACCTAGCAAGGCATCAAAACACAAATAAAAGTTAATATAATTGAAAGGAGATATAATAATTTGTAGTCATAGAAACTCCAATTTCTTTGATTGATAAAGTGACAGAACAAACGTACAGAAAATCAATGAAGACATGGAAGACTTCAGTAATATTATCAAACAACTCAGCCAATTTTATGTCATAGAACACACCATCCCACAACTGCTATATATATTATAATTTTTCTTTTCAAACATTCAACATATTCATACTGATTGTCTACTCCATTAGTATGCAAGTCTCAAAATATTTAAAAGGTTTGAAATTATAGAAAATATAGTTCTTATTATAAAATGTAATTATGGTAGAAATGAAGAAAAATAGAAATTAGAAATAAATAAAAGTTTTCTGTAAAAATCCAAAATATTTAGAAATTAAGCAACATTTTGTTTAACAGTCCTGGCTGACCTGGATCTCAATATGTAGACTAGGCTGGTCTTGTCACAAAGACCTGCTGCTGTGCCTCCTGAGTGCTAGTATTAAAGGCATATACCACTCGTAAAGTTCCACCAACATGACTGCCTAAATATGAGCAGAAGAAGGGCAACACCACCAGACATGCCAAAGCGGATGGGGAGAAGTTCCTGAGGCCTCAACCCTACACCACGGCAAATACGGAATGCTGAGAGTGAGAAAAGTGGAAGAGGACACAATACCAAATGATCAGCTCTGAAAACATACAGGTAACATTATGTGGACTGAGCAGGTTATAGTTAGAAGTATAAATGTGTATATACACATATATACACACACATATATGCATGCAATAACAGGCTATGAATTTGAAAGTAAACAAGGAGGGGTATATGAGAAGGTTAGCAGGTATGAAAGGGCAGGGAGAAATGTTATAACCATAATCTCAACAATAAGAAACAAACAGACAAAACCATTTATTTATGTGTGGGCCTACACATTTCATGAGCACGTGGTGATCAGAGAAAAACGTGTGTACATGATGGTTCTTTTCTTTCTTCATGTAAGTTCCAAGGCTTGGGTTTGGTGGCAGTGCCTTTCTTTACCAACTGAGGCATCTAGCCAGGCCTGAGGTACATAATTCTTTCATTGTACATTTCTCTTAAATTATATAGGAGAAGACATTCATAGTTCCTAGACAAGGGAATGCTTGGGTTAGGTCATTTGAAGCTGAACACATGAATTCTATGAAACAGAATTGGTGAGAAAAGATAAAAACAAATTCAATTTGCATTCTTTTCCCAAGTCATTTCCTAGTCATAATCTCATAAAAACAGAGTTCTTCTTCAACAGTGTTTATAGACTACTTGCTACCTTCCAGGAATATACCTGTGAGCAAGGTACAAAGAGGTGAATATCCCAAACTGTTTATGGATCTTAGAGCAGATGAGACAGACTATAAACAATTCATAAGTAAAAATGTGTTGTATTTTATAGGATGGAGATTATGGTAACAAGAGAAAACAGAGGAGGGAGAAGAGAAAAACAATTTCTCCCTTAAGTCCCACAAGGGACAGAATCCAGTTCCTTTCTGCATGCTTTGCAAGTGCATTTACAGTGAGCCATAATTTCAGGAATCAGAGTTGGCAGACAGCAAGGACTTCATTAATTAGGTGCTATTTGAGGGACACTGAACTTAAAAAGACATGAAAATTTGGGCCAAATATTGGGAGTATACCTGGGTATTCAAGAAAAAATAAAGAAGCTGGTATGCCTGCTGCAGGAAGAACCAAGGGACACAGCATATAATGTTAGGGAAAGTGGTCAGGGAAGACCGAGTAAGGTTTTGTTAGACCTTGAACTTTTACACTCAGTAAGTGTGAGGCCTCTGGAAGGTTCTGAGCAGAAAGGTGGAATGACAGGCTTAGATACTAACAGTATCATACTGACTGCTATGATGACAATATGTCAAAGGTGAAGGGCACTGAAAGGACACCAGATAGGCTACTCTAAGAATCCCAGGTAACTGGAGCTGGAAAGATGGCTTAGTGGTTGAATGCACACTACTCTTGCAGAAGATCTGTGTTTGGTTTCTAGTACCCACAATGGGCAGTTCACAGTCACTTACAACATCCAGCATGTCTTCCTCAGACACCTGCACTTGCTGTAGAATAGAAAATTTGTTTAAGGAAGTAAAAGTGTGTTACATTTGTTTGTGTTGCAGAATAACTGTCTAACTATGTGAAGATGTGCTGCATTTGCTTAATTATGTGGGGGTGTGTTGCTTTTGTTTGTGCTGCATTTGCTTAACTATATAAAGAAGTTGTTGCTGTTTCACTTGCCTGCCTAAGGCATCTGATTGGTCTAATAAAAAGCTTAATGGCCAAAGAATAGGCAGAGGAGAGATGGGGGTGGGGGCTGGCTAGCAGAGAGAAAAGGGGAGCCAGCGAGCCAGCCAGGCAGACATGAAGGAAGAAAAAATGCAGTGTGGACAGTATGTAGATGAGGTAAGCGAGCCTCAGGGCAGCACATAGATGAATAGAAATGGGTTAATTGAAGTTTAAAAACCTACCTAGAAACAAAGCCTAGGGTAAGGCCAAGCCATTCATAATTAATAATAAGTTTCTGTATCTTTATGTGGGAGCTGGTTGGTAGCCCAAAGAAAATTTCAACTATGTGTACAAAAGTACCCTGACCCCCCCCCCCCCCCAGTCACACAGTTAAAAATAAAAATTGGCACTAGAGAGCTGGCTTAGCAGTTCAGAGAACTTACTGATCCTCCAGAGAAACTGAGTTTGGTTTCCAGCACCCATGTAAAGTAGCTCACAAATGCTTGTAACTCCAGTTCCAGAGCATCTGATGTCCTCTTCTGGCCTCTTTGGGTACACACCCACATAAGAACATACACAGGGGCCAGAGTAGAGAGCAGACAAAGTCTGGAGTGAATGTGTTTTATTGACATGAGCATGGCCATGTCAAGCAGAACCCTTTCCCTGGCTCAGGCTCTAGGCCTTCCCCTAGTCCAAGTATGGACGGTGACAGTGTGAGCAGAAGGTATCAACCACAACTTCTTCCTCAAGGATGAATACAACCTGAGACTACTCCTTTACAGAGACCCCCCCACACACACACAAAATTAGCTAACCTGACTTCTCAGTCGGATGTATACAATAAACATGCTCCTTGTTCATATAAACACATCAAGTTTCCGGGCTGCGGCTAGTGTTATCTCCATCAGCAAATATGATCCATGAGACTCAGTTGTTTATCAGTATCTTAGTGAGGGTTTCTATTGCTGTGAAGAGACACCAAGATCATGGCAACTCTTGTAAAGAAAAACATTTAATTGGGGTGGCTCACTTACAGTTCAGAGGTTTAGCTCATTATTGTCATGGTGGGAAGCAAGGCAGAATGTAGGCAGACATGGTGCTAGGGAAGGAGATGAGAGTTCGTGTATCTTGACCTGCAAGCAACAGGAAGTGGTATGAGACTTGGCTTGAGCATGTATGAGGCCTCAAAGCCCGCCCCCCACAGTGAAACACTTCCTCCAACGAGGCCATACCTACTCCAACAAAGCCACACCTTTTAATACCACTCCTTATGAACTTAGGGACCCAAATACATTCAAGCTACCACAGTGAGTCGGTTGTTTCTTCATTCCCTGTTGCCCCTGTCAGGTCAATCCCAAAGCTGTGCACATTATGTGCACACACAGGCATATAAAGAAAAGTACAAATAAATCTTTAAAACAGAATCCTAGAGAACTCATACTTGTGTCTAACAAGGGGGTTTCTAGTTCACTCAAATGAGTGATGCAGGAGAGAGGAGATAGTTGCTAAATCACAACCAGCAAGCAGGGAAGGCACGAGACCAAAAGCACGAGTTGCAGAGTGACAGGGCTAGGAACACTTCCGTTCAGGAGGGGAAAGGGCAGACACTTCCGGTATCAGTAGGGCACTCATGTGTTGTAGGGAGGTGGTGTCTCTAAGTTTTTTCTGATTATTCCTTTTTCTCAGGGACACAGGAAGTAAGGGATGAAAAAGGAGAAAATAAAGAATTGGTGCTTGAGGAAGGAATGATGCGGTGAATTACAAAACCAGGAGAATGAACAGATTCGATTTGCCACACTTGGCCTTTAAATCCTAGATACAACTCAAACAGTCCTCTCATAGTTTGCTTCTAGATTTCTACACATATAGAAGTAATTATCAATATTCATTCACTATTTATTACTCATATGCTACTCCAGAGAGAGAGAGAGAGAGAGAGAGAGAGAGAGTGAGAGAGAGAGAGCACAAATCTTGTCTCTCCTATAGTGTGGGTGAATGTGCTCAGATACACAGAGCTAAGTGAATGGAATATTGGCCGTTTTGTAGCTCAGTGTCATAAGCAGAACTGATGTTTTCTGCTTTGAATTACTTCCTTATTACAACACTACCTAAGAAAAATTAGGGTGTTAAAAATCTAGATGGGCTTATTATTGTATGTACTTACATTTACTCCAAGACTACTACAGAAGTGAAAACCTCAATAAGGAATTAATATCAGAGAGAGGAAAATGCTTACTGTAAAAGGCTATGAGATTTAAAATGTTTTCAGAAATACCATGAGAAGGTTTTCTTTTTTTTTCTTTTTCTCTTTTTCCTTCCTTCCTTCCTTCCTTCCTTCCTTCCTTCCTTCCTTCCTTCCTTCCTTCCTTCCTTCCTTTCTTTTTGGTTTTGTTTTTTTGATACAAGGTTTCTCTGGGTAACAGCTCTGGCTGTCCTGGAATTTGCTTTGTAGACTAGGCTGGCCTTGAACCATGAAGCTTTCAAATAGGCAACTCACATAGAAAGCTTGAAGTGGTGTACATTTTCATAGCATGCAAGTATTTCTAATAAAAGTACTTTCCAATACATAAGGTTGTAAACTGTCATATACATGCTGTATATTTATCAACATCATAAATACATAAAGCTTCCTATGAGGTCATAGAAACACTAACATAGACACACTAATTATCAGTTAATGCCCATGTACTGATACAACTCAGGAGAATAGGAAAGTAGTCTTGGTGTTTTACACAGACAGCATGACCTAAATCTTACCCTCTATTTGAGAAAAGTAATTCACATCTAAATTTCACCATTATTGGAAGCCACATTAATTCAAATTCTCTCTCTTCTCTCTCTCTCCTCTGTAAAGGTTATTTAATAGAAATTAGGCCAATTCCAATAAACAACTGCTATTTATATACAGAATATATGTTAAAGAATAATCATCATAAATACTGACAAAGATTCAAAAGACTCATTGTATACCTTAGGGGACTATACCTGAAACACAATTAAACAAACTCACTGGTTCTTAAAAATAAAAGGTCTTTAAAAAGCTATTTTTCTTATTCTTACAGAAAGAGAAAAGCAATTGTAATTCTTAGGCAGAACTGCTCATTTTCTTGACTCAACTTTCAGTTTTGAGTTTGTTTTTTAATGGCTTTCTACAAGTTTCCACTACCAGACAATGTCCATTTAGTCTACATAGTTTGAGAAATACTGAATGAACATGAATGATAGAAATATTCTAATTAGGCACAATTTATGATCATAAGGGCTAGAAAACTGCACATTTAATAATGGTGACATTTTTCCCCTTGAAATTTCCCTATGGATTAAGAATGTTCTAGAGAAAATGGATTATTATAAATAAATAAAACATTGTGGGGGGCAAGATTAAAAAAAACATTTGTTCTGTTTTCAGTATGAGGTGCATCTAGCAGTATCAGAGAGCCATGGAGAAGTAGGAGGCACTAGGTCTTCCCTAGCTGGCAGTTAGAGCCTGCTTATCTCAGTGCTCTCAGTCCATCAGAGAGTGGTGCAGGCAGCCTGCTATATGACAGGTCCACATATCAGAGGAGAGAATCTCAAGCCTAGGATATACATTAGATAGACTTTGTGTCCCACACCAATAGAATGGGGAATTTGGGAGGGAGCAATCTAGAACACCTGGAAGAATCTACTCACCAAAGAACTCAGCCATTGAAGGACTTGGGGAACAGAGAAATGAGGTCAGGAATATAAAAACCACTTCTTTATCATGTCAGCCATTTTTTTCCTTTTTCCAGGCTGACACTGAGCTTCTGCAGAACCAAAAATAAATCAGTCTTGCTTTCCCTACTTGGACTTTCTAGTATTCTTATTACAATTTAAATATCATTGTTTCTCACAGGGGGAATTCAGATTGTCACTAAAAATATTTTCATCCCATTCTTCTCTTGAATTAAGACTTTTCATAATTCACATGTTTCATTATTTTCCTAAATTTGTCTTTTCATTCTCTCACAGAAGGGAATTAAAGCTCAAGAACATATTCCAGTCAAGATGTCACTGGGTTAAGACACTCCAGATGAATATATTTTAAGAAACAACAGGTAAAATAAGCCTTTTGTTTTTTCATAGCTTTTAGTTATCCCAGAAATCCTTGCCCCTCATCTGCACATTTAACTGAAGACTGTAATGTCATATTTTGCTCTGCTACTATCAACCACCTTCAAACTTGCAGCATTTCAGGTCATAATGTCTTTTCTTTGAAATAATATAGAATATGCTTATTTTATATCTGAAAGACAAGCCTATCTTCCATTGGGTACTTAAATGAACAGTTAATTATAGTGATATTTTATTTGTGTTTTAATGAAAAAAGCTTGCCTGAAGATCAGAATGCAGAGCTAAACCTTTAGAGGACAGAACAGGGAGTGGTGGCACTCGACTGAAGAACACCCTGGGTTACGTGGTGAGATTGAATCTGTCTAAAAAGAGAAACAATTCACACAAAAGTGCTCCCAACCTTTAAGCCTTTAAATAAGGGACTCACATGCCTTTAATCCCAGCACTAGGGAGGTGGAGACAGGAGCGGTATAATTGGGCGGAGAGAAGTATGGTGTATAAGACAGTAGGAGACATGAGCAGTGCAGCCTGAGGCTTGGTGGAGAGTACTGCAGTCTACAGACACACTGAGGACAGGATCACCCCACCCCTTTGTTCCTCTGAGCCTTGGTAGAGGTAACAGTTCTCTAGTGGCTTGGCTGCTTTTCTTTTTCCGATCTTCAGCTTGAACCCTAGTAGCTGTCTCTGGGTTTTTATTATTTGTGCTACAGTTAATCCTAAAGCCTTATTTGCACCATTAATATGAAAGAGAAGCTATAAAACCCGAGATAAAGCAAGTCTGATAAATCCTTGAGCTGATCTCTGTTCTTCCTCAGAGAATTCTGAGTGTGAGAGCACCACTGTACCATGCGTGCTTCATGGATATTACCATGGTCTAACATACTGTTCTCAGAGAAGGGCAACTTGCTTACTCTCATGCAAGCACCATTTATATATTCTATTTCAAACATACCCTTTTTGATAAATAATTCTCTCAAGTAATAATTTTTAATTTAAAGACCTCAGAGTTTTTTTCCAAATCAAATTCTATGCTTTCTATTTGTTTTAACCACTGCCTATAAATTTTGAGACATCCTAAAGATATTTATAATGAGATAAAAGTTGCCAATCTTGTTATTAGTAAGTTATTAATCCTTTTCAAAATTATATTTATATAAACAAAATCCAGACTGACATTAACATAAGTAAAATCCTATCAAGTTATTCTAGACCAATACTGATATTCCATTGTCAATATAATAGCAAGTTAAAAATATAAACCACAAATATAACTTAAAAATTCATATTAGTTATATTAAAATTGCAAGAAAAAACAGGTAAAATCAATTTTAGCTTTTGGTTGAATATAGTGGTATGTTATTTGTGTTTAAATAAATAAAGCTTGCCTGAAGATCATAGGGCAAAGCAGTCACACTAGTCAGCTATACACGCTAGGAAGTGGTGGCACACATCTTTAATCCCAGGACTCGGGAGACAGGCAGAAAAACTCTGTTAGTTCAAGAGTACCTGGGGCTATACAAACCTGAATCTGTCTAAACACAAACAGAGCTCACACAAAGATGTAATCCATTTGGGATTACAAGCCTTTAATCTCAGCACTAGGAAGGTGGAGATAGGAGTGATATGGCTGGCCAGAGAGAGGAATATAAAAAGGAAGAGACAGGAACTCAGTGGAGCATGGAGTCTTCAGGATTCGTGGAGACAAGATCTCGCTCATTTCGGACTGAGGTAGAGGTAAGAGCCAGTGGCTGGCTGCTTTGCTTTTCTGATTTTCAGCTTGAACCCCAATATCTGTCTCTGGGTTTTTATTATTTGTGCTACAGTTGAACACAGTATTTTCAAAATAGTGTACAAGCAAAATGATTCTGCTGCCCCTGCCTTTTAATTTGGTATGAGTTTTCAGCATCCCAGATTTACACTTATGTCATCTTGGACTAGCCACATTTCAGGGGCTTAGGACCCCATAGTCAGTGACTGTGACAGTGCCAGTGTAGTACCAGAGCCTGCTAAGAGGGCGGCCACAGACAAAGCAGCTCTGAAATTATGGGCCTGCTCGAATGTGGACTTTATCTCAACAAGCATTCTAGGAAATTTGTATGGACAAGACATTGAGGAGAATTATTCTAGGAGTATCTGAATTATTTACCAGAAAAATTTGTTTTGAATATTTTTATAATTTTGTATTTGTTTAAGTTATTTTGTTGAATCAACATCCTTCCTCAGTTCCTTACTTCTTTTTTTATTTAATAACACATTTTTTTCATATTTATAAAAGCTTGTTTATTTAGAAAATAAGAAAATACAAGTTAGAAATAAAATCCATCTGTACTCTTATGGGCAGAGCTAACTATTGACATTTTTTGTGTTTATCTTTTTTTTTTTTTTTTGAGACAGGATTTCTCTGCAGCTTTGGAACCTGTCCTACTCTGTAAACCAGGCTGACCTCGAACACACAGAGAGCCACCTGCCTCTGCTTCCAGAGTGCTGGGATTAAAGGCGTGCACCACCACTGCCTGGCTGTGTTTATCTTCTTCTGACATTTTTTGTGTTTATCTTTTCTGCTTTCTAAAATGTTTCTTTAAAAAAAAGATTTATTTATTTTTATTTTGTGCATGTTTATTTTGTTCTTGGTATTTAAATGACCCACAGACACACATAAACATACATTTATATATTTGCATACCTTTCATAAAAATATTATCATCAAATATTGTTTTATAACTTGCCCTTTCACTTACAAATATATCAGATACATCCCATCATAGATTCCAAGATAATACTTTTTTAAAAGGGCAAGTATATTGATTATATTTAGAATAGTATATATTGAACATATACAGTAAATTTAATCTTAAGCATACAGTCCCATGAGGCTTGGATTTTTTGGGTTTTGTTTTGTTTTTGATTTTTTTGAGACAAGGTTTCTCTGTGTAACCCTGGCTGTCCTGGAACTTGCTCTGTAGACCAAGCTGGCTCTGAGATCCACTTGTCTCTACCCACCGAGTGCTGGGATAAAAGGCGTATGCCACCATAGCCCAGCTAGTACCTAAGTTTTGATGATGCAGTCACAACATATCCACTAAAATCAAGACAGAACCATAGGGGCTGGAGAGACAGTGCAGCAGTTACAAGCACATACTGCTCTTCCAGAGAACTAAGTTTCAGTTTTCAGCACCCAAGTCAGGAGATTCATAATCACCTGGATCTCCAGCTCCAGGGGATCTGACACACTGTTCTGGTGTCCAGGGATACCTGTACACACAGAGAAGAACACACATACATAAAAATAAACCTTAAGAAAAAATGACAGAACAGTTTCATCCCCCACAAAAGCTTTCTTCTGTTAAATTACAGTTAAGAGGCATTTACCTCCTCTAGCAATCATCATGTTTTCTAGCCCCACAGTTTTGCTTTCTCTGTAATACTACAGAAGTCGAATTACACACTTACCTTTAGGGTCTGGGTTCTTTCACTTAGTTTACCACACCTGTGATTCATCCATGTTAGTTTGGTTCTTGAACTGCTCAGCAGTATTCTACTCTATGAATAAACACTGTGTTTTTTGTTGTGTTTATTGCTGTAGTCACCAGCTGGAGGTCAATAAGACTACTCTCAGCTTTTGTTGGTTATAAAATTGCTATTAATAATGACTTTCAGGTTTTAGGGTAAAGATGTGGAGGAGAGATTTGCTTTTAGAAAGCATCTGTTCAAATGGCCACATTAACACATAATAAATAAAATGAACATATAATTTAATAATATAATAAAAATAATATATATATATATATGTACTCACTCATTTAAAAGATTAACTGCACTGTATTAACGTGGTACTTAGCGCATAATCTGTTCTATCTAATGGTCTTGGGGGAAGCTGAGGTTTACCATACTGTGACGTTTAGTTGACTCAGTATATGCCTGATTCTCTTAACACTTAAGAGCATTACTCCCACTGATTTATATCACTGCTTCTGGGAAAGGCAGTCAGTTTTGGGAGCCTGCAGTCAGAAACTCACATACACGTTCTCTGGCTGTCATACAAGGCTGGAGCCTATGAGCAGACAGGATAACCTGCACACCACATTTGCACTGAAGATTTACACGATCTAATATTATCATTCACAGTATGGACATGGTCTTTACTGCTAGAAGGAACAAGACTAGTTTATTTTAACTAAATAATTTTATGAATAATTCTGGGGGAGATTTTATATGACCTGTTTAGGGTCAAAGAGCACTGTAATATTTAGTATTCCTAATTCTGAAGGGGCCTATTTTCAGTACACTTTCTGAATCCTGCCCATCTTGTTCTAGCCATGAAACATTTGCTCCACTGATCTCTGTATTTTACAAATATATTCAAAATAAGGAAATCATTAACACAGTTTTGTACCTCTAAAGTCTTGCTTAGAGCATTTTGAGAAGTGGAATTCAAGGTCAAATTGGACACGAGACAGGCTGGTGAGACAGGCTGGCGTGCCAGAAGCAGCGGAGCTTGTCTTTCTGCTTCCACTTACGATTCTCAAGGCTTCTAAAAAGTTTCACTGCTCATAGGTTCCTGATAAGCAGTATTCCAGTCAAGACCTATGCTTATGTTCCAATTTTTGTTTTAATTTAAGAGTTTTCTCTTCTTATTTATTTATAAAATTTATGGTTTTTCAAGACAGGGTTTCTCTGTGTAGCCCTGGCTATCTGGAACTAGCTCTGTAGATCCAGGATGGCATTGAATATACAGAGATCTGCCTGCTTCTGTCTCCTAAGTACTGGGATTAAAGGCATGTGCTACCACATTTGTGTAAGAGTTTATTTTGTGTGTGTATGGTCTTAGACACATATTAACCAAAGATTTCCTATATCAGAAATTTACTTAAAGATGAAAATAATCAGAATAACTTTTATGTGTGTGCTTGTGCATGTGTATGCAGTTATGCAGTATTTGAAGACTAGAGGTCAAGGTTGGGTGTCTGCCTTGATCGCTCTCTACCTTTTTCAGACAGTCTCTACCTGAATGTGGAGCTCACCAACCCAGTTTGCTAGAGGGCTCCAGGGATCTCCTCTCTCTGTTTCCCTAGTGCTGGGATTATGCCTGGCTTCTTACATGTGTGCTGAAAGTTAGAACTCAGACCTTCATATTTTATTTGAATATAACAATCAAGCATTTTACCAACAGAGCCATCTCTCTAGCCCACAGAAGCCAAATTTGAGAAAAACATGAATAAATGTAATTCCTACTACTTTTGTTGACAGCTAAGGACCCATCATAGATAGACATCATTCATAATATACGAGGGTTTTGGCTGGCTAACTCACCCTGACAGAGGAACAACTTCAGAGTGATATATACAGAGTATATTCATCTATCTCTCCACGGTTCTTTGTGAATCCTTGTTACTTTTGCTGAGAAAGCTTAAGATTTAACATGGCAGCTATGATCCCTATGGCAGAATTTGATGCTTAGAAGAAGGGAAATTAAGTGATATTCCCTAGTATTTCAGTTCAAAGGAGGCATTTTCTCATTGTAGTGAATAGATTACTTTTAAATAAGATGAAACATGTGAGTTACTGAAAGCTGATACAAAGAGCTAATAGGCATCTTAAGATCTATTTTAAAAAGATTTAGTTTTATTTTTCATCTTGTATGTGTGTCTGTGTGGGAGTATATACATGCAAGTGCAATTGCCCTGGAAGGTCAGCAGAGAGGGTTGGACCCTTGGAGCTGAAGTGACAGGTGGCTGCAAAGTCCTACATCCTGTGGATGATGGGAGTCAGACTTGGGTCCTCTGGAAGAGGCAAGATTTAATCACTGAGCCACCTCTCCAGCTTGGTTACAATGATAAGAAACACAGAAATGAGACATTTATATCACACTCTTCCCACAAGATTCAGGTATCATTAAGGAAGAGGGCAGAAAGATTGGAAGAACCAGAGGTGGTTGAAGACAACAAGGAAACAATGTTTTCCAGACACAAAACAGACACAAATTGTAATAGCACAGGAAAGACCTGTGCAAGCTCAACCAAATTTCCAACATGGAGTGGGGGAAGTGGTCATAAAGCCCCTTATCTAGTTTGAGGGGCTGTTGGCATTTGACAACTGTCAGAACTGTCGGGAGAATAATTTCGTTTCTTTTCTGTTTTGTTTTTTGTTGTTGTTTTTTGTTTTTGACAGGATTTTTCTGTGTAGCCATGATTGTCCTAGAACTCACCCTGTAGGCCAGGCTGGCCTCAAACTCAGAAATCTGCCTTCCTCTGCCTGCCATGTGCTGAGATTAAAGGAGTATGATAATATGCCCGGCTAGAGAATCAATTTTCTTTAATGGTGTGAGCCCACCTATGGTAACCACACCTCAAAGAAGGCTCCACATCCAAGAGTAGCTGGCCAACATAAACTGGACTTAGAGAAAGGGACACACCAAGGGGAAGGAATGGAAAGGAGAGACATGGAGTGAAACCTGAAGCTGGGTGGGTAGGAAGATGGAGGTGTATCTTGGAGGAATTGGGGGAGGAAAATGAATGTGAACAAAATACATTATATGCAGTTATTAAAACTTTTAAAAGCACATTTTGAAAGAAAGATAGCTGGAGAGATGGCCAGCTGTAAAGAACTATCATTGCTCTTACAGAGGACCCACGTTCTAGGTACTTACAACTGCCTTATTGTAAGTTCAGCTCCAGGGACTTCCAATGCCTCTGGCCTCCAGGGGCACCTGTATGTGCACATCCCCACACATAGACAGATGGAAGCATAAGTAAAAGTAAAATAAATCTTTTAAAAAAGGAATCACATTTGTAGTTTCAAAAATAGGCTAACGACTAACAAGCTTTTGAAATACAACTTGTTATAGGTTAGCAAATAATGGATATTTAAAACATTGTGATTTATACAAGTTCTTTCAAGTGTACATTAAAGCAGTAACACCTTTCCAGTTCTTAAACATCTACTACATGAATAAATACAGTCTCTGTACTATCATATTACTAAAGATCAAAATAATGGGGGACTTCATTATACTATCAGCCTTACTTCTACATATTTGAAATTTTTATAATAAAAAGGTTTACAAATCCTTTAGACATTAATTTCAGAAATCTACAAAAGATCAGCAGTAAACAAAGCTAGGTAGCAGTTTAAGGACTTCTAGTACAAAAAGCCCGAATTTTGACTCACATCCACAACAGGTAGTAAACAAGGTATCAAATATTGAAAACATTTGAAATAATCCATCTAGTTTGGATTTTCCAAAAGGTCATACCATTGTTCCTCAAAATTAAAAATATTTAAGATGGATGCTGCTATAATCCCAGCACATAGGAAGTACAGGAAGAACTAGAATTAAGATCACCCTGGGTTACACTGAACGTTCGAGATCAACCTGGGCTGTGCGATAGTCTATCTAAACAACAACTCCCCCCCACAACAAACAAAAGGGTATCTTTCAAATGTATAGGTATAACATAAAAAATCATTTTAGGTCTGTTATAATAGCTCATGCCTGCAATCCTAGCATCAGGGACGCTGAGACAGGAGGATGAAAGCAAGTTTAAGATCAGTCTTAGCTAGAGTGAGAACTTGTTTCAAAGAAAACAAAACAATATAAAATTTAACTGAACTGAAGTAGATTTTTTTTACTAAATAAACACAAATGAAAGATCTTTATGTCTCTGAGGATGTTAATATTTTATTTTAATTTTAACTGTACTTTCTGATTAAACTACAAATTAGCACTTTAAAAAAGCATACAATGGGGCAGGAGAGATAGCTCAGTGGTTAAGGGCACTGACCGCTCTTCCAGAAGACCAGGGTTCAATTCCCAGTACCCACATGGCAGGTAATAACTGTCTGTAGCCCCTAGACACCCATAGACATACATACAGGCAAAAACAACAATGTATATTTATAAAAGCATATAAGCAAATATATATTCTCATCATTTTTCAAATAAAATCTCTCAATAGTGGTCATCTTTACACATTTCTACTGTGTTTTAAAAATTTTTAAAGTTCACCCCAATTAATATAAACATTTAAATTAATCTTTTAATCCCAGCACTCAGGAGGCAGAGGCAGGTAGATCTCTGTGAGTTCAAGGGCAGACTAGTCTACAGAATGAGTTCCAGGACAGTCAGGGTTCCAGAACAGAGAAACCCTGTCTGGAGGTGCTGGGGATTGGGGGGGGCACATCTATTTTTAGTGTATCTACTTCTCTAAAATACCTTTAAAATTTAGCTTTAAAAAAGTCATTAGGCTTCTAAATGATTTTATTGAACTCAGAGTTTAAAGTTTACTTTTTAGATACTTGCAGTCAATTTATAAGTTTTCTATATAATATTCCATATCTTTTACAAACAAAATATGTTGAAACCCTAAAATATTGCAGGTTAGTGGCTCATGCCTCTAAACCTAGCACATGGGAGGCAGAGTCAGGCTGTCTGCAAGTTTGAAGTTAGCCTGGTCCACAGAGAGTTCTAGGACAGCCAAGACTACACAGAGAAACTCTGTCTTGAAAAACAGAAACAAGCAAACAAAGAAAACTTTTCAAAAACTCTTATGATGTGACATAAAAGGAAACAGTAATTGTGGTAGGAAAATAATATATGAAATATGATATGTCTTCTACAATGTACCTATAAGTTATACCGAATAATCATTACAGCAAATGTCCTTAGAGGACAAAGGAGAACAGCGAGCAGCAAGGTGGAGGAGGGCTGGAAGGTTTCCTCTTATCTTCTACTGTGTGGTCTTTCAGTGCACCAGTCTTTAAACAGAAAAGGTCTCAAGGGCAAATCCTGCTTCAAATGTCCCTTATCCTCCTGAGTACAGAATAATGTGTTTGTGTGGTTTATGATTACACAAGACAAGACTGTGAACACATGATTTACTCAATGGTCCTTTCTTTTAAAGATAAAGAATGCATTTAAGTTGGTTGTGTACGAAGCTGGTAATTCCTTAATTTCTTAGAAGACTCCAACAGAGAATATTGTCATATTTTAAAACATTAGAAGCAAAGTCACTCTTTGTCTTATTCCCAGATAACAACATCAATTAATGTTTCTGCTTATTTTCAGAGAAAATACAGATGAATAGTTTAATTTTTCTTTATAAAAACAAAATATCCCCATAAAAATTTACTTCTCAAAAATTTTAATGTGTAAATAACTTGAGAAACTGTGTTATGATAAAAGAAAAACAAAAGTTAACAGAACTAATAGCACATCTTCTACCAGGGGCCAGAGTAAGGGACACGTCTCATGAAAACAAGTTGCTCATGCTCCCAGAACACAACCTCCTGGGGAGGAATTCTGTCTTTAACGTGCTGGGTGGCAGAGCCCACAGGAATTACTCAAACTGAAAATCCCAAGCATGCTCACCTAGAGGGAAATAAGACAGATATGATTTGAGTATAATTATTTCCTAGTAATGTCACTAAAGAAAACAACCTCAAATGATCACGGTTGTATGAGCTTCCACGGGTAGAGAACTGTAATATATTTACAGACACATTTGTTAGCTGAGGAAGAAAACATACAGTGAATGTACACATGACATTTTTATTTTTTTAAATAATATTTTCTAAAGCACTCATATTTATTAATACCCTTAAATGGTATTTAAAATGATAAAAAAATTACAAACATTTGAGGACTTACTACATGCTGGATATGTTCTAAGTGGTTTAAATGGCTTATTTTATTTACTCCTTAGTAAGTCAGTAAGGTTTATTAAGCAAGCAGTATTATTCCTGTTTTATGAATAAAAAGCTAAGTCATAGGGACATTTGTGTAAACAAACAAAACTGAATTCAAAATCAGGTGTTTTGTCTCTAGGGCTCATGCTTTTAATTTAGCTTCAGTTAATGTAAAAGTGAATTTTAACCATATTATTATGCACGATTGTTCCTTCAGTTTCTGTATGAACTTCCATCTCTCTGGCTCACTGTGACTACCAGACTCTCAATCCCTCTGGATTCATCTTTTGGTTTCATCTGCTTTCCTTGATAGCCCAGGCTCTAGTTAGTTTGATGTTTGAATATTCTCCCTCAGCTGCTGGAGGAAAAAAAAGTTTGTCCGTGTAACAGTAATCATTTCTAATTTTCCCAGCAAACTTTACCTCTGGTTTATCCAGGACAAAGTCAGCCACCGGAGGGAAGTGGGCCTTCACAACTGCCCAGCAACATTCTGTTGCTCTTTCAGAGCACCTGCAGCAGCTCTTCCAAACTTTTCCAGACCTCATCCCCACATGGACCTATCCTTTTGGAAATCGCGTTAGAATGGGTTTATTTAAAATCCATCCAGAGCAGAATCAGAAGATAATAAACAGGATGCCCAGTTTAGTGCTATATTTCAAATGAGGAACATTTTAGTATGTTAGATCTCAAACATGACATTATAGAAGTACTTAAACGGTACTTAAGATGATTTAAAAGTGATAAATTGAGAACTACCACATAATTCATGAGACACAGTTAATACTAGAAAACACATTCACAATAGACCTAGCATGGAGACATACGTACGGGAGCCTAAGGCAGGAGGATTATGAATTTGAGCCTAGCTTGGACAATTGAGATCTTAAAACAAAACCACCACCTCACACACAAGCATTCACTGTTTATCCAAACTCAAATTTAACTAGACATCTAGTACTTTAATTTATTACTAAGTAAACCCAATCAAATTCCTTCTTTCCAATCCCAGAAGTGTCTTTCTTTTTTTCAAAGGTTAATTCTTGATTGTATTAGTCAGCTTTCCATCCTTACAATGAAATGCCTATAGCAATTTACTTATAATGATACAAGGCTTCTTTTTGCCCATTGTTCCATAGTTCCAGGCTAAGACCGATGGCTGGAGTGCTTTGTGTCTCTGGTAAAGAGAGTATATCTATATCATGGCAGGACCTCATGAGAGAACCAGTGATGTCATGAGCTAGGAAACAAGGACAGGGCTCTCCATTTCCCGCCAAGAACATGAACCCAATACTCTAAGTATCTTCCACTGTCGAAGCCTTAGTTTCCAAAGGTTCTACCACCTCCCAATAATGACAGTTGGGGGAACAAACATTTAACATATGGACCTTTGTGGGGACACTAAATCTTACCGTTTACAGTATTCACCTTTCTACTTATGCTCCTCTCTTCCTCGTTCTACATATTCAACACCTGCCTATGAACCCATATCTTTTGTTGTGTTATTTTGCCTTTCTACTTATGCTCCTCTCTTCCTCGTTCTACATATTCAACACCTGCCTATGAACCCATATCTTTTGTTGTGTTATTTTGCAGTTCCCCTACAGAAAGACATTTTCTAATTCTCTAATTCCCACCCCTTCAATATGGACTGGGCCACATAAACTGCTCTGTCTACAGAATGAATCAGGAGGGCAAATAAGTTATTTTAGAGTCTGGATCTCAAGAGGCCTATGCATTTCTATTTGTCTTCTTAAGTGCCTTTCCTGTTTCCAAGAGAAGAACATAGAAGCCACCTGTTCCCAGAATAAGAGTGATAGGTAAGTGGGACAGCTTAGTTTAGAGCAAAGCTCCCAGAGGGCTTTCAGCTATACAAGCAAGCTCTGTTGAAAGCAGTCAATCTGCAGACAGGCGAGCTATAATAGTAATTATTGTCTTGGGCTCTGTGTTTTAGAATGTTTGTTATACAGCAAAAGCACATATCCTTTATTTAAAAAAAATCTATTAAAGCCTTATTATGTCATTATTTCAACTTACTTTCTTATACCCCCAAACCACTACAGGGAAGTATTAGTTCTTGCTTTCATTGTCTCTCCACTTATTTCTGTTATCTGTACCAATTCTCCTTTCCTGTTCCCAGCCTCCATCTCTCTCCACTTATTTCTGTTATCTGTACCAATTCTCCTTTCCTGTTCCCAGTCCCCATCTCTCTCCTTGGGTAGGATCTTACTATGAAGTTCAGGTTGGCCGTAATCTTGCAGCAACCTACCTCTCCCCCCTATTGCCGAGATTATAGAAACACACAACTACAGCCAACAACTGTAGTGCTGTATTTTAATAAATAAAACTTGCTTGAGGATCAGAAAAGTAAAACAACTCCACTGGCCAGCCTTATAGACCAGGCAGTGGTAACACACACCTTTAATCCCAGTAGCCACATTAGCTGCCATAGAAACTGGAAGGTGCATGCCTTTAATCCCAGTGGTGCATACTTTAATCCCAGCCCTAGAGAGTATTATAAAACGAGAGGAAACAGTTCTTAGACACAGTCTCATTCTGAGATTCCTGGAGGCAGGATTGCCATTTTCAAACTGAGGTTGAGGTAAAAGTCAGTGGTTGGCTGCTTTGCTTTTTGTGTCTTCAGGTAGAACCTCAATTTCTCTCTCTGGGTTTTTATTAATTATGCTTCAAACAATCAATTTTCTTTCAACTGCCACCAAAAATGTGAAAATAATGAATTCTATAGCTCTGGGACTTTCTCATCCACCTAAATGTAAATATTTCACACAGGTTGAAAGTTTTTGGTTATATCCAGAAACCAACTGTGGAAGGCAAGGTGAGCCCTTCAAGTTCTAGCCTCTGGCAATTTTCATTTCACTCAGTGTTTGGTATTAGTAAGTGTTAGCAGCAGCAGCAGCAGCAGCAGCAGAAAAGCAAAGTGGCACTCTCTAATGTTACAGCACTCATGCAGGTCACAAGTGCTGAGACCTTTAGCCCTTGGCACAGTTAGTGTTTGTTACAGCTCTCACCCAGAGTCTGAGACCCTTGGTCTTGAAGACTTAAGAGTTCTCTACAACTTTTCTAGCAACCTGGCCTGTAGGTTCTCTTCTCTAACATCCTACAGCCTTCTGCTCACTTTTCAGTCTCAGGTCTCTGCCCTCTTTGTCCATCTCTCTTATCCCTCTACCCTCTTTCTTTGTCTGGTACTGCAGAACTGTTGAGATGTAGCTTCTGCTGCATTCACACCATGGCCTGCTGATGTCTCAGCTGTTACTGCCACTGGGGTTCTGCTGCCTCTGCCATCACCACCGTTCTACTGTCTCTGCTACTGCGTCCCTCTACTTACCTGCTCAGCAAGTATCACTAACAGAAAGATCTCTCTATAAAAGGAAGAGACCACTTAAGAGAAACCTTTTACTGGACCTGATGTTGCAACACCAAGAGAGGCAGAATGGTAGAGTGTCTCAGGCAACTTACTAAGTGAGCCTGAGCTGACTGCTTATATAGCCCCAGAAAGGGATGCCTGGGTCCCTTGGTTTTGCCTCTTAGTCATGGTCATTAAAGTATGTATTTTGGACTAATCACACAGCCTTGCATCTTAGCATAAGTTACAACATCCTTAGGCCATCAGCAGAGATGCTCTTGTTCTGGTCAAAGTAGAAGTGATTGCTTAGACTTAGACTTCTTCGAGACTTGTGATAGCAGAAAGTCCAGAACAATCTGTTTCAAACAGCTCTGGCTGAGGCTGCACCATCAAGAGCCAGGGACAGCCAGCTGCTACCTTACTGGAGTTTCCCAGGAAGTAACTTGATTACAGGAAATATATGCCATTGTAAATAAGGTTCCGATTCCCTAGTAACCAGGCAAAAGTCAAAAATGGACTGCCAAAATTTTATGTAGGAACTCATCTAGGAGCCTTTAAGAGGCTCCCATCTATCACTAGACAGGAAACTCCTTTGTGACAGGGACAGAGTCCCACTGTATCCCCAGCATCTACATGTACGGTGCCTTGATTATATCAAACATATAATGAAATCGAGTCTTTATCTTAATGTCCTCCCTATTTTTTGTTACTAGCCTCTTGCCTCTACCTTCTTCTTTATCATTAAATCTTTCCTATATATAACTGTTAAAACAAGTCAACTGTAATTTCTTGATCAAACTCATCAGACTCCTCTATACAAGTACCAACCCTAAACTTGATTCACTGTTCAAAATCTTCCACAGTCTGGTTGTAACAAAATTTTTCTAGGTTTTCTGTCAATAGTTTTAACAAATAACTTACTTTTTTCCTCCTTTTGAAAAATTCCACTTCTACAATATCTCCTCTTTTTTTTTCTTTACAAATAGAGTCTCATGTATCCCTGACTAGCCTCAAACTTGCTATGCAGTCAAAGATGATCTGAACTCTGACCTTCCTGCTCTCACCTCCCAAGTACCAGGGTCACAGGTGAGCAACACTACACCGAGTTTACCTGGAGTTGGGGAATCAAACCCAGGGCTCATGTACACTAAGGAAGCACTCTACTTAACAACTTCCCCACCCCTTCACTTTACAATGGTATATTTCCCCTCCAATCAAACTACTTCTTCATTTTTTAATCAGTAAAATAGAAAGTATTCCAACGAGTCATATACAAAGAAAAGCAATTTGTTACTCAAAAAAAGATAAAAGAGTACTACTATGTTAAACAGCCAAGGGAGAAAATGGCATTTAACTCAGAGATGGCTGAAGATTATGTGAGGGAGTGAATTGGAGGTTATATCAGGAGCATAACAACTAACCCAGAGGCCATGGTGGTAATGCCTCTTCTACCTTACTTTCAATGTCTAGTTAAGATGCCATCCAGCAGTGTATGTATACTTTTTTGTGTATGACTTGACACTAATTCTTTTTAAAGCACATATTAATTATACATAATGGGTTTCATTATAACCTTTTAACACATGCATATAATGTATTTTGATCATCAGCATCCCCACCCATTACCCTCTCGTGTATTCTTCCCACTACAGGAAGGGGGCTCTTCTTCCCAGCTACTCCCAATTATACTTTCATGTCTTTGTTTGTATGGAGTATCTTAGTTTCTGTTTTATTATTGTGCCTGTATAACTGGAAGGAAGTACTATGGTAAAAATGCGCACATGAAAAATACAATGGAATTTACCTTAAATCCCACTGTAAAAAATGTGCAATAGTTCCCAGCATGAATTATAGCAAATGTTGTTATTTTTAATTAAAAATTTTAATTAAAAGCCCAATAAAGTGCCTTTCCAAAGCATTTGCTGGGGTATGAAGATGGCTCAGTGACTAAGTGATTAATGCACAAGTCTGAAGACCCTGCTTGATCCCTAGCACCCACATTAAATAACAAAAGCCAAGCATGGCTGATAGCATTTGTGACCCCAAGCACTGGTAGACTAAGACAAGTGGATCCTGAAGACTTGCTGACCAGCTAACCAAAACAGCAAATCCCAGGTTCACTGTTAGACTATCAACACATGTACGTGCGCCCCCCCCCCACTTCTCACTATACAGTTGCATACACATATATAAATAAAAATAAAGCATTTCTTATTTTTTTTGGTATGGAAAGAAATATTCCATATTAGTTTCTCTCAATATATCAAACAAGCAACAGAAAAGAGGAAGATTGTGCAAAAAAGGA